GAGGAGGAGGAGGAGGAGGAGGAGGAGGAGGAGGAGGAGGAGGAGGAGGAGGGCGATGAGGAGGAGGAGGAGGAGGAGGATGACGATGGGGAGAGGAGGAGGAAACGCTGTCCAGTGTCATCTTCCTCCTCCCCCCCATCGCGAGTTTCCTTATCCTCCTCCCAATTGCCATATTCTTCGTCCTTCTCCTCCTCCTCCTCGTCCTCCCCATTGCCATCATGTCGTTCCTCGTCATCATCACCATCTTCCTCCTATTCCTTCTCCTCCCTATCGCCATCTTCTTTCTCCTTGTCCGCCTCCTCCACAACATGATCTCTCTCTTCCTTCTCCTCCTCCTCGCCATCTTCTTTCTCCTCTCAATCGTGATCTTCTTCCTGTTTCTCCTCCTCCTCCTCTTTCTCCTCCTTCTCCTTGTCCTTCGTTCTCTCCTCCTTTCCCATCGCCATCTTCTTCTTGCTCCTGCTCCTCCTCCTATAGTTGGTATTTCTCCCTCTTTTCCTCCTATTTTTCCTTGCCCTTCTCCTCCTCTTTTTCCTTGCCCTTCTCCTCCTCCTTTTCCTTGCCCTCCTCCTCCTCCTCCTACCCATCGCGATCTTATTCCAACTCCTCCTCGCGATTTTGTTCCTCCTCCCCCTCCTCCTTGCGATCTTGTTCCGCTGCTCCTCTGCTGATATCGTCCTCAAGCGTATCACGAACCAGCAGGTACCTCGGGATGGTCATGTCTCGTCGAGCTCCAGGCATCTGCGTGTCAGAACAAAACTTTATCAGTCGAGTAATCGTTCTATGAGTTCATCCTCCTCATCTTGCCATGCATATTCCGAGAATAGTTCAACTCGTAGAATGATAAACCTATTCGCCCGTACTCGCCTTGTATGATATATGCCAAAGAAAGGACCCTGTCGTTCGTTTAACCAAAGTACGGAACGAACGAACGTCAGCCTTATCTCCGGAATTTCATCCATTCGAGGGTTAATTTCGTATGGTTGCATCACCACTAAGTTTATGTTGGCGAAGTCGTGTTCGGGCACTGGCGGCGCGAACTCATAATGAAGAATATTCAGTCCGGTTCTTGACCTGAAAATGAGTCATCTAGGAGGGTTTCGCGCACTGCCATCCCAGAACCGTGGAACATCCTCCTCGGAGTGTAATTCATATGGATTGAAGACGACTTGCCCTACTCTCTCTAATCTTTCTCCATTACGTCTTGGAGACTTGGCCCATTCTGCTGCTACGTCACAATTGTGAAAAAGGTAACAGACCGTCGTCCCTGCTGCCGTCTGAAAAGAAAGACGAGAGTAGTAACGTTAAAATCTCTGCTACTGAGTATTACTCGTACATTCCTTCTTCCTATTGGCTCGTGCTTCTTATGGCACGACCATCCACGACAGGAGTGCCTAACTGCACTCTGTTTAAACTAGTATGACATGAATTGGGCTGCTTATGACACCAGTTCCTCATGTGTTAGTGGCTCCTAATATGGCCATCAAAAGGGTATACTATAGCAGTTTTTCCTTACGCGAGACGTCAAGAAGTTCTAGAGGTCTTCCGTGAATATGCATTTGTCCCTCCCCTAGGAGGTGGTCTGGGATACCCCTTGTCCTCGCCCGAGAGAACCTCGGATCTCAGAAGTCGGGCTG